AAAAATTGATTTTTTTTTTTACCCAAATTAAAAAGCAAGTCAAACAAATACAATAATTTCGTCATTTAATTCAATTAAAATTTTTTATCACATCATCATAGCTATAAACAGTACAAAATTATTGAAATTTCTTTTATTACTTTATCACAAATCCAAAGAGTGAAATATTATATTTTGGTGAGTGATATTCGATAATTAATTTAAACAAGAATTACTGAATTTGATAATTAAAGGAAAAAAATTATAAGATTTTAACTAAAATTTCATGATTTGTTAAAGTTACTAAAAGAATAATTATGAATGAAATTAAACCATCTTAAAGCATATCATCTTAGGTTTTTATTTTAGACTATAGTTTATAATAATAGATTTACATTAAAAATAAAAATAATAAACAAGATTCTAGAAACCCTCTTCAGTTTCTAGAGTATTTTACAACAAAATAAATTTAAAAAAAAAAAATTAAGGGAGATTTTTAAATTAATACATAGTGGTGACATAAACATAGACAATTCATAGCTCAAAATTATAATAATTAAGCCATTATCTATTTATCAGAAAAATAAAGTAATATTATATATAAAATGTATATATATATATCATATTTTTATATTTTTTATTATTAATTAAAGCACATGATTTTACGAATTAGATATATATAAATTAAAAAAAAATAAGAATTAAAAGACATGTGTGGATAAGAGGAGAGAGAAAGAGTTGAGACCACTAATCCATATGTGGTTAGGACACGTGGGGCGATATGAGCGACTCGAGGAAAAATGTTAAAAACTGACACAGAGTGGGTGTGGAGTCTAGGTCTTGTCTTTTACTTTCGATATCCAATAGGTACATTACACGTGTCATTTTGTCAGACCAATTTATCCTCGCTGATCTGTCCTGATTACGTGTCATATGTGAATGAAAAGTACGGACGATTTTATTCCCACCTTAAAAAGCTCGCTCGTATCGTGATCTAATCTCTCTCCGCCTCACGTACCTTTTTATCCTTTGTGGTCGATAACGCAATTTGACTTGTATGGCATTTAGCAATTTCAATTATGTTTTTATAAAAATTATAATATTTATTATTTTTTATATACATATATTATTTAATTATTGAAACGAAAATAAAATTTAATTACTAATAATTTTGGTGCCATATTTATAATAACCGAAATTAATTTTAAAAATTTTAAAATATTATAGACATTATAATTTTTAAATTTTTATTTAAGGTAAAAAATAAGAAAAATAAGTAGGGTGATAAAATTAAAAATAATTTTAGAAAAAATGGATAAAAATTTAGATTACGGAGGTGTTTTTGAAAGAAAAATTAGAAATTGTAGGTCAAAATATAATTTAAGAAAAATATACCACGTAGGACGGCTCAGTTAGTAGCTCTGACGAACAGGAGTGCGCCGCATGTCAAGGTACACTGACGCGGTACCACTCGGGAGGCCACGCTGGCAATCCGCATGTCCGTGATCGGACGGTCTGAATTTATTTCCGTGCGTGTGGACGGTCTGGATCCATTCTCTCCTCATGTGCGATCGGAGGGTCACGATTAAACGCGATGAACGGCTCAGATTCATTCCCTATTTAAACATGATCGTATGGTCCAGACCAAATCGCGATCAACGGTCTATATTTATTTCCTATTTAAACGCAATCGAACGGTCCAGATCAAACGCGATTGACGACCCATATTAAAAGAAAACGGATATAAATACATCACTTTATACCAAACCCTAATCCTAGTCGCTCGAAAGGGAATCGAC